GAAATAAATATATACATGCAGCAGGTCTAAACAGAAAAATAACCATAGCCGGTCGGTCGCCCGCGATGCCGACAAAGCCGCTTAAGAAAATTCCACCTCGCTCACACACGGATTTAATGCATACAAATCTCAAATTTAATTCCCGTGCTGCCGACTGCGTGCGAGCTTCGTGCAGGGGTGAAAGGAACAAAGACCGAATAGTGATTTGTCGCCGCATTAATTTTACTACCAGCTTTCGGAAGTAAAACGGATGCTTTTCGGTTCGATATGACGAAATAAAATGTCACACCGCGAGAGAGAGTCATAAAGTTGTGGGGCCGCGCGAGGTGCAATCTAATGAATTCCTGAGGGGGTGCGGACACAGGAGATAATTGGCTGGAACAAGCCTTGGGCACGCAGCTCAAAATACCAACACCAAATTCCGCTTTTATGGTCCTCAACGTTGAGGGCTGTTTTATATGAACGGGAGGGTGAATGAGATATGAAACATCGCGCAGGGTGAAATTAATTTTCCGCCCGAAACGCTCGTGATGCGACCCAATTTTCAGGCCTTTAATTAGAATTAGGTTGACGAACGTTGAAATTGTATAGTAAAGCATCAGTCAAAGGGAAAATACAGAAATTCTTGAAATAAGCTTCTTGTTTAGAATATAAAAAAGCAGGGTTTAAAATGTCATTTTTAAGCAACTCAGTATGTAATTTTTCATCATTTAGAAGAAAGAGGAAATGAAGGCTCGAGTTTCACACGCCAAGGAAAAAGTGAAATACACACCACAAAACAACGCATATTTCACTTTTGTGTGCTTCTTTGTCTCCGCGACTCATAATTTATCATTCGAAAACGTGGAATTTTCAAATCCGCCTACTTTTCCATCTTCTATATTACCACAAAACTTTGGAGTTTATTTTATTGCTTTGTGAACACAAAAGGACGGTTGATTAGGCTCGTCGCCCAGGAAAGCTGCGATCCGTCGGTTGACCCCAGGGTCACGGTGACCCCGAAAAACAAGAGACAGGCGGAGTCGCGAGAGCGCATACAATGGGCAGGCAAAGGGTGCCGCCTAAAAGTGTTGAAAATAATAACCTTCCGTCTGCTTTTTCGTTTCCAACGTTTGGGCGCCTTCTCTGCTTGGATAGGCACCGAAGTGAGCACCAGCGCCATCGACGGGGCATCTGGCGGCGAACACGCGAAGGAATGGTGCTCGCTCGCGAAGGTGCTGACGCGGTCGGCAATCGTGGTGAAACGCGTGGGTCTTGGACGTCGAGTAGAATGGAGTCTCCGACTAATGCTGCTCCTTGTGGGCAAGAAAATAATTAAATATTGCTCAAAGTGAGATGAGATGCATCGCTCCCAAATTCAAGCTATTTATTTTGAGATAGAGGATCATTAATATCAAATAAAATTCTGAGCAGGTGTTTGATAGAAGAATTATTATTATTTATGAAATAACAAGAAAAAAAATATATTTCAAGATGTATTATGCTCCTTTAAATTGATACTTATTCAAATTATTTTGTACAACAATAGATTTATAAACGTGTTATAGATAGTTTTTTTTTTTAAATATTGATCAGTAGAAAATTTGACCCATCATTTTATTGTCTTAGTTTGAAGAATTTAAAAAAAAAACTTTAAATTGCTTCACAAATATAAAATTTCTAAATTATAAGATTGTTTACAAATTAGAGAAAAAGTGGGCTCTAAATGAGATTAAACATCGTGTTTGTTCTTCTTTTTTAAATTAAAAAATCAAGACGTGTTACTAGTCTAGATCACGGTTCGTGACCGGTCTTTATTATTCGGAAGCAGAAAATTTAAAAAAGGTAAATTGGAGAAAAAAAACCTTATAAAAATTAATTATTGAAAGCTAAAAATATATGAGTCCCAACTTATTAATTATTTCATGAGCAACCGCTTTGCTCGCTGACTAACTCAAGAATGAGCTAATAGCTAACTAAAATAATTTAATGTAAACAATGTTGACAAATAAACAACAATAAAAGAGATGAAAAGAATTATATGACTGACGTCATCACATGCCCGCGGGAACGGCCACGCCGCGTGCTAATCACCCTATAAAAATCACCCCCAATCAATAGCCAAGCTCATTATTTTGTATTAGTCAGCGAGCAAAGCGGTTGCTCATCATAAAAGTCGTAAAACATAAACAGGTTGGCACTTGAAATTTGTTTGCTACTTAGGATTGCATTATTTTGTGAAAATGTATTTTTCTTTCTTTATATTGTGCAGTTTTTTCCTGCTCAATTATGCCCTTATTCATGAACCCAAAATTTAAATTTTCTTGGATACTATTTTAAAAAAAGATTTTTTAGCATTTTAAAATCTGGACCAGTCAATTGTGGGTTAAAATTGTAGAGAAATCCTTTTGATAAATCAGCAATTTATATATTATTTACAGTGTTGACGTGAAATGAGATAAAAACATCCTAGATGAAATTCACATCATGAACTGTTAAACAGGTTGGCAAGTTTTTAACGTGTTGTCTACTTGAATTTTATGAATGATTTGAAAAATTAGTTGATTAATATTATAAAAAGCAAAAAAATGTAATCATGAAACACGTTCCTTATCAATAATACAGAAATGTTGACAAATTTAATTTTATACCTTCCTGGGCTCAACAAACATCATTTCTTTGATTCTTTCAAGCTTGAATTTTATATAAAAAAAAATCAGCGCACCGAAGCAAATGAATTAAAGCACCGCTAGCAAATTCAAATTAAATCAGGATACTTTGATGCGAGATACCATGAAAGAGCGCATTAATAAGTTATTTAATTATTAAACTAATATTTCAGAGACGAAAATGCACAAAATAAAATACTTTAAATTTCCTAGAATAATTTAATTTAGGCAATACAGCACCGTATCTAAGAATATTTTTTATTAAAATGACCTGACCGCCTTGTAATTTTGTGGAATTTCTGATCATCCAAATCACCACCTGATGTGTGCAAAATCATTTGAATTCCATTAGGGTGCCCAACAAACTCGTTAGGCTCCTCTCACCGCGATAATTCTAGTTCTTTGCTGGCAATCATCCATCCGCGCGAAATGGAAAATGAAATTTCGTATATATTTATAATGCGCTTCACACGCGGTGTGTGTATCAAGAAAATTCTCCGGCTCATCAGGAGCCAGCGACATGCCCATTATTCACTTTTAACGCGGAAGTGGAGAGCTCGAAATACACACAAACAAGCGGTTTTATACAAGTATAAAGTTTTGTGCTAACTCATCTCCGTGGAAAATGTAATGATCAGCAAAAGGTAGCGAATGTGATGCATCTCGCGGGTTTGTTGGCCGCCAAACAAAAATGCATTAGAGCGCTACTCTCGCTCACTCGCTCGTGTTTATGACGAGTTATGGCTTTGGAAGACGCTCAATAAGAGTCACTTGACAGCATCTCTCTCACGGGGTTTCACTTTCAGAGAGTACTATAATTATTGAGTATTATTGGATCTCGGTATGTGTCTCAAGCTTATCAAAAGTGAAATTAAACCACATTAATTTTCTCTTATAGAGTATGAATCGTAATTTGTTATTGAACAAGTTCAATTGCGTGATCGCTTTGAAACTTCAATGCAGTGAATAAATAATTTTGTGCTTACCAAATTCTAGGATTGTTGTTGTTGTTTTTTTTTTAATAAAAACATACTGCTATTTTTTTAGTGAATTGAATAAATTTAACATTTCTAAGGGATTAAATCTTTTAAATTTCATTGGTTAGAAACAAAAAAACTTTCTTTTAGATGCTTTTTAGTTTAAATAAAATACATTTTTTTTTACATATTTTAATTTTCATAATTTTTAAAAAATAAAAAAATCTGCACTGCAGATTGTTTAATGTAAGTTAAACATACTCGCATACGCTGCAAAATTGTAGAAAATAATTTAATAAAGCAGGATATTTTTTCCTAGAAAACAATAAATGATAAATGACTCACAAAATCCATCAAGGACCCCTCATTTTTAAATTAAATTAACACGAATATGCCCTCGATCGGGAATAAATTCTTCTGCAATAATAAAAAAAAAGACGACAGAGCATTGTGTAATAAGTTTAGCCTTGATAGCTTTATGCCGGTTTTTTTTTTGCAGAAAGCCCCTTGAAAAATGTTATTAAATCAAGTTACTACGTGATTTATTAATAATAAAATTAGTTAAATCGCTCATATTTGTTTTCTCATATTGCTGAAAATATTTTTGTGTTTTCATTACTAAAATCTGCATAACTAAAATCGCATAACAATGATGAACCTTTTTTTCTTAAATTTAATTGAAGACTATAAAATGGAAGGTAAAATTTTTTTGTTTGAAATTATAATAAATATGAGTCACTTAAAAATACTCATTTCACCGTTTTCTTTGTTATCCTCAAAGTCTTTTAATAACAGTATTATTATTGGTAATAAAAAAACTAAATAAAAGATCACTATTAAATATATTTCAAATAAATTGTACATTAACTTATAGCACTGCACCCCAATATATTATCAAATTTTTTTTAATCTCTACGTAATAAAATATTCCAAAAAGCAAAAAATTCCGTTTAGCAGGTTTTTATAAAGCAATTAACATAGATCTGTAGATGATGTTAGAGTTGCAAATTAAAAAATCTATATATCACAAGGTATGCCACGGCTGCTTTAAAATAGCTTGACCCAGTAAATAAGAGCTTGTCTGCAGCTCTTTGCAATAATTTGGCTTAAATCGAATTAACAGTTTGACTTTCTCCGCAATGTGGAGGAGAACCACAGTAGTCGCGAAAGACAAGGGAAACCCCCCAGAATCGACGAGAGACTGGAGCTGACCAAAACAATGCACAAAAAGCGACCGCGAAAGAGCAGCTTAAGCACAACAACGGCGGCGGCGGCATTCTTAATATTATAATCGAGCGCGAGAGCCGAGCCTCGACCAAAAGTGGAAGGGCAGGCCGGCTGTTCGGAGCGACGGCGGCAAAGCAGTCTCACGCCAGCCGTGCTCGCACACGCACCGCCATGGACGAGCGTTGCGCCGTGTGCGTCGAGTGTTTGACGCAAGCGCACGCGCAGGCCGAGATCGTGCGTCGGACGCGACGCAGCCACGTGTACCGCGCGCCGTCCGCCGTCAGTTTCCAGCGCGCGCTTTTAGCGCCCGACGAGTGCGATTGTTGGCGCAGCGCCGACGCTCTGCAACGCAAGGAGGCCTCCTTTCGTCAGATGTACCCGGCGCGATCGCCGCCCGCCTCCACGTGGCGCCGACACGCTGATGAGGAGGACCCGGAGGACTTTGAGCCCTTTTCAGACAGCTGCGCCGAGTCCGAGTCGATGCACGACCAGGACCAGTTGGGCCAAATCGACTTCCGCCTCTTCGAGCCGGCGTTGAGCGACGAGAGGTGTTTTTGCTGCAACCCGCCGCCAATGATGCACCACGACGTCGAGGACGAAGACGTCGCCGAAAAGGACGACGACTTCGACGGCTCCAGTTTGCTCTCGGCGGGCTCCAGGACCTACCAGCTCATTTCCAGCGTTGCGAGAAAACTTTCATCCGCATCAGGTCTGTCATTCTATTAATTATACCAAAATAAACTTTAATATAATATTTTTAAAACAGTAAAACTCTATGAAAATTTTCAGTACATAGTATTATAACTAAAATTTTAACTTTGAAAATTTTAAAGTCAGATCATTTTACTAAATGAAATTTTTGATCAATATTCCTTAAGAAAATGGCCAAAATCTGCTTAACTTGTTTAATTTTTTTTTTTTTAATTCCTTGCGATTTTTTTTTTTCAATTATAATACAAGACGGAGCGAGAAATCGTAATACATTTTGAAAACTTTATTATTGAAAACATAGTGATGTACTGTGTATACATAAAAATAAATTTGGTTGAAAAATAGTTGCAATCTAATATTTAATTGGACACTGTTGACAAGTTGACGGTAAATTGTATTTTGTTTTTAATGAATAATTATATTATTTTACAAAATTTTTAAAATGCGTAATAAACATTATATCGTGGAAATAAAATTTAAAATTTACATGTAAAATTAAATACCATTATTTAATGATTTTTATATGTCATCTTAAGCCTTTTTCAATGCAAATAATTGATTGCCAAACTCTTATTTTTGCAATTTTCTTGAGCTCAATAGAATAATTTTAAAACGAGACAATCAATTTTCAATTTTCAAGTATGATCGACATTCAAGTAGGTTCTTCAAGTAGGAAATAAATAAAAATATATCTCAGTCGATCTCAATGCCTTTGAACGTTTTCCCAGGAAAAAAGGTTGGCCGGTGTCCAGCAGCATTATTTGCCGAGTTGTCCGCTGCCCCCAACCACAAACAACGCATGCATAATATCTCGCCACATGGCTCTCTTGCGCGGTTTGAATGCATTAGCGGCGAGACGCGACGAGTGAAATATCTTTCGTTAGCAAGAAAACTCTCTTGCGTATGAATATAACAGTAACTCTCTGCTCGTTTTCTCAAGACAGGCAAAAAATCAACTCACCAAAGGCGGCTGCATTATTATTTGATCCGCAATGAAAATGCAATTTTACTCTGGTTCATTAGTGTATTGAACTACTGGTGCCGCAACGAGTTCAATTACCGGTTTAATTGATTACATGTAGGTGTTACGAAACGAGTTATTCAATCGAATTCGCACAAAAAAGCGAAACGGCCACTACGATAGGATGTATAGGAGAATCCACTCGCTGATTATTAATAACGATGCACACTGAGTTAACGGTGAACGGAACCGGACAACTTTTTCTCGTCAGCGCTATAGAGAGGCGTGTGTATGTCCAATTTGTGGGTCGGACGAACGAATTCTGGTCCTTTCGCAGAGGACATTGCTTTTCCTGCGGGGCTAATGAACGACAGACAACTTCTTGCACTTAAAAATGTGTGAATGAAATTGTCGGTCACATTTAAATGCGCAGGTTTCGATTACGGGAGAGCTGTTTATTTTAGAGAAATAAGGTCAATGAACACATTTTTGGGCGGAAATTGATCTTACAGATTTGAAAAACCCGTTAAAATTTTGATTTAATTTATATCTAATAAATTTTGAATAAATCCAAGTGTTTCATCGCGACCTAACAACACCCACTCATTCACATATAAAGTTGTTTAAGTACCTTTACGATTTTTTGTTTTTTAATTTGATAAAAAGGGCAAGTTTTTTGTTTAACTCTCGACCACAATATTCTAAATATTCAGCCGGCGTGAATATTCGTCCGTCACTGTCGGAAGGAAAGTAGGCGAGACCGAGTGTTTTGAACTTTCTGCATGCATTATAATGACTTCCACATTCCATAATATCTCCCCTTTGCTCGCCGTCATATAGTTTAAAAGCAAAAAGAGCCGCGGTGCACTGCATGACACTCTTTTTTTGACCGATAATAAAAACCGACGACGTGCAATTACGGCAGCTGACCGCACATAACTGTCCTCTGGTGGTTTTCAAATTTAGAGGAAATGGAAAATAGTGCGGCTGAGAAATTCCATCATTTTTCTCTGAGACAAAATTCTCATTACGTGCGCTGCAGGATAACGTATTGAATCACGCTTCTTAATTGGAGATGGTTTTTTTTTTGCTTTCGCAGGGCACTCTAATTTTGCGCCCGTAATAACACGAGCCACGGCGTTTGATAGCTAATCTTTTTTTGCCATTTCGCACGCAGCCAGAGCAGATGAGAGAGCAATAAGAAGTAATAACAAAATCGCCGCCGTCTAGAACGTGATCGGATGCCGTGTGGACCGAATTGCTGCACGTCCGCGAACCAAGAGAAATGAACTCATGGCACACTCATTATACACACTGTACTGAGTTAGAGTGGAAACAAATGGAAATAATCTCGTAAATTATTTTATCTACATTTAAAATCTATTTAAAATAACTTTAATTTTATTTTTATTCTTTGTAAGCTCATATTTTTTAATCATTTATTATTTTTTTTTATTTTTCTTAAAAAATTTTGTTGTTTATTTTATTCATTTATTAAGTTTTGTGATACAGCCTGATAATCATTGATGTGTTTGGTGCTAACGCTAACTTTCAAATTTTTATTTTTGACAATATTAAAATAAATTTCATACATACTACTGATCATCTAATACTTAAGTAAAATCGCAACAAAGTGTATTTCTTCTCGTTTTCTTTTATTACACAATAGTTTGAAAATGAATTATTTTGAATTTATGAAATTTTGTCAATTTAAGATACATAATTTATTAAATTAGTGTGAACATTATTTAATAGACCCAAGGTGGACTAGCTACAGGATGAATAAAATGATATTACTGATTATGGGTTTTAAAATTGAAGAGTTACATTTCTTATATTTGAATTAACATAAACAAAAATTTCATGAACCAAATTTTTTTAATTCAATGAACCAAATTTTTGAACATGTCGTATTACTCAGTTGTTTAAATAAACAAAAATATGAGTCATTGGATAAAATAAAAATTGCTTTTGTTGTCAGACGCAGCTTATCCGCTCCCGGTAGCTCATTTTTCAAGCCTGATTTATACCCATTATCTCAAAATGATCGGCGCCGCTCTCATCTGGTGATTCATTGTTATGTACCCTTTCTTCCGAGCCTCAATTTTTTATTCTACATATGCTATAAATAAATCTCGAAACGCATCCATTGTTTGCGTTGATGTCCTTCTATTAATAATTACACGCTGGGTGCACCACTGAATTATGATTTATTCTCAAATCATAGATGCACTCATTTGAATAATCCGGCGGAGAGCAGGAGAAGCGAAGAAATGCAGTGCAGCAGGCGAAATCCGATAAATCACCGTTCGTGGCTCGGCCGTAATGAGGCAATAAATTTTGATTGGGTTCTCTCGAGCAACTTACTAAGCAGGGCGAATTATTCAGATGCAGCAGCCAAGAGTGCATAGTGTTCACTTGCATTCACAAGTAAGCTGACGCCATAAATTCTGCGCAAACCCGCCGAGAAGAAATTTCATGCAATTATGCAGCAACAACCAACGCTGCTTTCCACGGGTCTCCGATGCGAAACTGGAATATCAACTCGCAGATCGAATTTCAATAATTTAATATTTTAATAACAAGGTTTGTGTTTCTAATGCGAATGGCTGTTGCGTGCACCTAATGAGAATCAAAAGCTTATTTTTAATTTCGGGAGGTGAAAATCAATGTTTTTTTTTATTAAATAAATTTGCACAAGTTCATTAAAACTCTTGCTTTCGCTTTTAATTTTGACACTTTTAATATCTTTTAATTTTGTAACACACCACTTGGCTACTTTTATTTCTATAAACTTTATTTAATTCTACCATAATCGGTGATATAAGTTCCGCAATCGCCCAAACGGGTAGATTTTATCGTCCATTTGATCCCGTAACCAGTAGAAAATTAGGCCCGAGAGATAATAATTAACAAATTCCGCAACTCTCTACGTTAAAACTTTGTGAAAGGTCCGCCTCTGTCGTTCGCGGCCCATAAAAGAGCCAAGGAAGGTCTCCTGAATGCGAACCGCATTTTTATATTTGATAAATACGCCACAATAAACTAATTTATTAATAACACGGCGTGGCCGCTTAATTACTCTAATCGAAATCTGGCCCGATGGCAAGAAAAAATCGTAACAACGGCAACAAGAACTCTCTGCACAGATAACAAGTTCATTAATCACGCAGTGTAGATCGCAAAATGAGATCTTGGGAGCTCGTTATTTTTCAGCTCTGGAAAGTGAATCAGGATCATTATTTAATGAGATGACCATTGCATGGTTTTTTATTTCAATTATACATGTCAATCATCGATTTAATGCAAATCATTGTGCTAGCTGCATAGGACAAACGCTATTTTAACGAATATGCTTATGTTGATGCTAATAGTTTAACTTAAAACTAATGAATGCTTCTGGCAGAAATCTTTAAAATTTAAAAAATGCAGTAATATTTAATGTTGAATAGTTAATAAATATAAAAATAAATCGTTCAGCAAAAACTTTTTACCAATCAATTAAAAACAATAATTTTATCTTTTATTCATCGATTAAAACGCATTAATTTATATTAAAAATTAATTTGGTTTTATATTACATATTTGAAATTAAAGTTTCTAATCTAAATAAAATTTAATACACTTAGGCACTTTTTTTTGTATTTTAAAATAAAAATCTTATTAATTATAAATTAGATGTATAGAGACATTTATATTGTAAATTGTGAATTAATTCAATTTCCACAGCAGGAAATGTCACAGGATTGAATAGAGGATTATTAATTATCCTATTACCTATCAATATGAATAGTACTTATAGTTAATGATGGTCTATGAAGAGTTTTAATTTATTGAAATTAAATAGTCAAATGCACGTGGCTAGAACTGATTTCCAGATTGGCAAAAAAAAATGTAATTATCAGACCTAGCCACCGTTTGCAACACGATTTTCAGTGTCTTTCAAAGCCTTAATTTGTGTTAACTGCATTTTTTGCTCACCATCTGGATGCTCCAAATTAGGACGGCCTCCGATTAATCACTGAATCAATGACACG